TAGTTGAATAGAAAGCAATAAACGACAACGTTGGTAGTATTATTACATCATAAAGCGTTGGTGCATTCTTTTTGTTTTTTCACTATTTAAAGATTTTCTAAAATTTTCAAAGGGTCATAAAACAGCTTTGCCAAACTTTATATTTAGAGTTTGATATTACTGAAATTTAATGGTCTACTCAAGAACATTCGAGTCAGTTGCTAGAGTTGGGTGAAAAAATTAAAACTAGAGTTAAATTTGTGACAAGTTGGTAAGTTCCATTCTTAATCTTTTAACTCGTTACTATTTGTACAAAAATGTTGTTTTAGATCAATAGGACTTAGGTTGGCAAATTTCGTAGATCAAAATTGAGTCTGTAATTTTTGATTCGATTTCTAGCTTAGATTAGAAAATTAACTAGTGTTAGTTACCTCCCCACTTCTCAAAAAGAAGAAGAAGAAAGTGTTAGTTACCTCCCAAGGTCAAAGATGAAATTCGTGCTACATTCAACGGTATTTTTGTAATCTTCGTCTACAAGAGTTTAAGCTCAAACTGACACATTGATGCACTCACCAAATTATGGTTCATGCATGCATGTTTAGGGTTGCTAAAGTTTTATGATTTCTATTCAATTTGATTCTTAAGTTGTTGTAAATTTGCATGAAAAGAGTTTTTGAACTTCCTTGTTAAAAGTATAAAACCTACTGAAATCAATTGAAGCCTTCTGCAGCGACGTTGATTGATCAACATGTGTATCGATTGACCAAGCTATTCGAAAAATTAGTTTTCAACTTGGTTTTAAACTCTACCTACCTTATCTCTCTATACTACTTTGATTACCTATAAATACGTAATACTAGGGCAGCTTGGGTAGACTTGTAAAACAACATATACATACATAAAATATCCTATAGAGCAAATTATTCTGAGTTTTTTAGAGTCCATCTCAATTTTCTTTTGCATCCGTCATACTTGGTTTTTGTGCGTGTGCTTTTCATGTGTTGACATCTATTGCTGTGTACTGTAAAGAAGATTTCAAGCACAATTGTTCAATTCGCCATATGAGATTGAAGCCTTGATGACTAGTGGCTAAGATTAAATCACTAGAGAAGTAAGTTTGTGAGGAACAAATATTGTTGACAAGTGGAAGACTTTTGAGGCAAAGTTTGAAGTGTTCTATGTTGAGAGGTAATTAGGGGATTCTTGGTGTAGAATATGTTAACCTTGGTTGTAAATTTCTTTATCATTATAGTGGATTTGGTTTGTCTGGACTAGCTTCTATAGTTTTTCCTTGCTTAGGGTTTTCCACATAAAAATATGGTATCTTTTGCTTTATTTTATATATGCTTATTATTTCTGTGTATTGTTTGGATTTTTACTATGTGCTATATTTCAAATTTGCATCTGTTAAAAGTACTTTTAATTTTGAAAATAGTTAAAATTGGTAATTAGTTTTAGAAGACCTATTCACCCTCCCTCTAGGTCTAAATCAGTGTATGCAACTTTCTATCAGAGTTTCTGGTTTCGGTCCTACAAATTATGATTTATGTAATAGTTATTATTTATTTGCATATTATGGAGTGTTAGAAATAAAAGAGAATGGAGAAACTGTATATTATATTGATGTGTGAAATATAAGAATACTTGGGGGTTTGTATAGGAGACGACATGTGTGGAGAGCAAGTAAACCTAAACCCTATATTGTAAACCTATACATTGTAACAATATATTATAGAATATATTTTAACAATACATGGTAACATTATATTATATAATATATTCTAACAGTCCCCCTCAAAGTCGGGGTGGGTTATATGAAGCCATCTTGAGTTTAAAGACAATCCTTCACCCTGATATAGCTGACGTGGCACCGATGCTATCGTGGTTGATGACATGGCAACTGAATTGGCAGGTCTTGACACTACTGCTGGCACCTTTGTTGCGTGGCAACTGACGTGATAGGTGACGTGGCACAACTACTGGTACCGTTGCAGAATGTGTCAAATGTTGTACCAATCCTGACATGTTAGGTGACGTAGGGTAGATCTGTGAAGATATTGGAGGTAGGTGCGAAGTGTGAATAGGTTAACGTTGCCATCCCCGGTGGTAACTACTATAAACTGATGGGTGATAAATTTATGAAGATTCACCACGTTGAAGGCGCGTGTGAGCGCATGATGATCACTAATGGCGCGTGGTGGTGTGGTGATAAAGCTGATCCGACACGTTGAGGTGCGGGATTACCGCTGGTGCGCATGATGGCGCATGGAAGAGTGGGATTACCACTTGAGGCGCATGGTGGCGCGGTGACGGAGCTGATCCGACACGTTGAGCATCTCTGAACGAGGCATCTCGTTAAATAACAAGGCTTCCCTATACGGGGCATCCCTAGGCAGGGCTTCTCTAAACGAAGCATCTCGTTGGGTTTTCCGAAGGAAGAGTAAGACAACGAGGCTTTCCTGGACGGGGCATATGAAGATCTTGGAGTACGGAAGCGTGAGTTTGCTGGTTGACCACCACCGGGGATGGTAGTGTCATCCCTGACGGTGGCTCTGATACGATGTTAGAAATAAAAGAGAATGGAGAAACTGTATATTATATTGATGTGTGAAATATAAGAATACATAGGGTTTTATATAGGAGACGAAATGTGTGGAGAGCAAGTAGACCTATGGTAAACCTAAACCCTATATGGTAAAGCTATACATGGTAACAATATATTATAGAATATATTCTAACAATACATGGTAACAATATATTATAGAATATATTCTAACATGGAGCATTATTTATTAGATTTTTTCTTCTTTTAAATAATAAATATATATTATGAAACATACTCCAAGTACTAGAATGCTCTGGTTGGCTAGTGTGAGAAAGTGAGTTCAAGTTTGAGCCACTTGGTGCAACTAATGTTGGATGTTCGGTTCATACAGCTATCCTATTGTACCCTCCTACCACCTTGCTCTTGTACAATTAACAATTGTTAATGGTGCTTGGTCCTTTCCCTTCATCTCATTCTATTGTAGAAATAGACTTGGTTGTTACAGAAGTAAGTCAACATAATAACTTTTTGTAGATCCAACATGTGATTATTGTTAAGTAAATTGTTGTTTGCAAGAAAGATATCTACCAAATAAGTAATTGAACAAACTAATTAAATGTCATTGATATAAATCACTAGCCCAAAAATGATATCAATATGATTAAATATAGAAGTTGAACTTGTTGAGATGGTGGTGAGCATTGGCTTGAGGTTATAATTTGTTTCAAGGTCTTTCCTGTATCATGATTTTAATTCAAATATGGGCTTATGGTAGCATTCTCCCTTATGATCCGGTAATTGACTCCAATAAATTGTGTTCTTAATGGAATCTGACTGGAAACTCTCATGGTTGCTTAAGGATATCTAGTTCAGTCAGTCTTTTGAAGAAACAATTGTGGAGCCGGTTGAAAAAAAATGGTAAAAAAGAGAATTTTAGATTTTTTAAAAAATTTTAAAGTAGGATATAAATAGCAAATGGCATTATTATTCTTATCAGTTAATTTCGACCTATTATTGTTATCAGTTAATTTTTAGGCTGAAAATGATATAAATATTTAGTGCATATTATGAATTTAGTTATCCATGAACCTGAGTGGTAGAAAAAGCAGTTGAATATTATGTAGATTTTCAAACTTGTTTAGATTATAAACACAATTTAATCTATTATTATTTTTTTTCACTCCCCAATGTTCCTTGTCTTCTTTATTTTGAGCAATGAGCATACTCATCTGTAGCCAGGCTTGCTTCCTCATAGGCTGCCCTAAATGTTTAAATGTATTATTGTCATCAGGATTCTTAGTGGAAGTGTTAAAACAGTGTTGTTTTAACAACTGATTCTTCCCATGAACCTTGACGGCGAAAGGGCTGTTGTTAAGCATTCCATCTAGGGACCAAAAGCTAAAAATGCTTGCTTGTATGCACTGTTCTTACGGAGAGAGAGAGAGAGTCTATTATGCACCAATTACTAATAGGTGGTCTTCTCTGCTGGACCTTGCAAAGTGACAAAGTGACAGGATAGTGATGAGTGTTGTAAAGCGACAGGATAGTTAATGCATTAAATTGCAGTTCCCCGGACTTTTTTGATGTTTCTGTTGTAAACTTACTCTTTCAGGCCTTGTTGTTGCAGTCATACAATTTAGTTTATCATTCACAGTGCTAATTTTCAGTTTTTCTGAAATAAGGTTATTGCGGTAATGAATTGATTTAAAGCACCTAGTATGATGAGTGCCTGCTACTTAAATCCTTGAATGCTAGAGATTTAACTCCTGGAGCTTGATATAAGACATAAGATAAATATATGTTTCTCTTATTGCTGTGGCATGTGTGTGCGCTTTTCCAGGTATGCTGAACCAACTTGATCAGGTGACAAATATACTTTATCTCTTTGCTGTGTCATGTGTGTGCTTTCTAGCTATGTTGAACGAACTTGAGCAGACTTATAAATTTATAATTGTGTCATTATATTGTCTCTTTGTGCTTTTGAAAGTCTAAAAGGGAGGGAATGCCAAGAATCATAACGAATTTTCAAATTCATCACTCCGTCATGCTACATTATGCTTATCTTCATAACTTTTTTTGATGTTTGTCTTCATCCCTATTTCCCCCCTTTTTACCTTTATTTTGCTTATTTGACTTTCCATTTAAAAACTGAAGATGTTCTGCTGCTAGAAAAGATTTATACAACATAAATTGTACTCCACTCTGAGCTGTATGATCAATTATTGTATTTGTTTTTTTTTTTTTTCAATTAAAGCATTAGTACCACAACAAACAGTTGTCCGTTTTGGTGATCATATTAAGTTTAGGATGGCTGGAATAGCACCTGGTGCATGCCCCATTGTCCTTATTGCTTAAGTTTCACATTGATAACTGGTGTTTACTGTTTGGTTTATCATTTTACAGTAATTCTAAGATTTGTTCGATAATCATGAAATACTGAATCTGGTGGCTTCAATATGCCTAATGTTTTTTTCAGACTTGTAGCTCATCTATGAAATCTTGCTGGTAGAAGCCTGATGTAACAACTGTGAGGCATTGGTTACAGTTTTTGGCTTGCTTTCCTAATGCAGTTGTAGCCTGGTGCAAGTTTCAAGGACAGAATAACAGGGTCAGTATCAAAACATTTTCTTTTGGTATTTTAAGTGTTGACTGGTTCTTTAAGGAAGGAAAATTACCCCAGGTTCATTGCTTTTGCTGATGCTTCATTGTTTTGAGGCTGTGGCTGGCTTAGCTGAAGATTGATATGTGCGTGAAAGTCGTTTCTGTTGGGTCGATCAGGAATATAAGAACTTCTGTTTGATTCAGTCACACCCCCTGCACAGTGAAGCTGGTACATAAACTTCAGCTTAGTAGCTACTCAACAATTTTCACTTTCCGGATTCAAAGATTAAAAGGGGTATGTAAGCTATCCTTGGTGATATTTGGAGTTAATAAGAGTATTCTAAACTGAATACCTTTCTCTGCAGTTCTGTATTCTCTTGACTAATTAGATCCGCCTTCTTATAAAGCTCTATGTTTTCCTGATGAATGAGACACCCCTGTAATTAAATTGTAAAAATTAGCCCCAAAACTCAAAACTAACCATTATAGTAACTGGAAAATTGAGATGATTCTTTCAGGAAACCTTCCGGTTTAGTTCTTTTATCTCATCAGTTAAAATCTGCTCCTGCAGGAAACAATAGCTACATTTAGGATTATGCATACGCTTTATATTGGGGGGACCAGGAACAGTACAAGATGTAAACTGTGATGGGTCTAAGCATGCTTTACCTTTTTCATACGGACACCTTTCAGACTCATTTCGAGTTGATTTTCCAGATCCTGTAGATCTTTGACGCTCAAACCAGAAAGTTGTTCTCCCAACAAATGCCTGCATTGCTTACATTTCTTACACTGGAATTGTAGGGTCATAAACTACCAGCACTACATTTGCTCTCTTCCTCCCTTCCTCTTCTCCCTCAAAAGGTATGATTGATGTACTTCAATGTGTCAACCTACAATGTCTTGGTAGTGTTTGAAAATTGAAGTTTTGCAATTTGCTCTCTTTAACTCTTCAAGTGCCTTCATAAATTAAATACAAAAGCTATTTTGTTTCGGAAAGTACAAATTGGTTTGTCTCCATGTTTCCTTATGGCACTGGATATTCGTCCTGTCATTTGATTGGGAGTTTGTTCTTGTGAAGTTTGATTCTCCCCTCCATTGGCTTTATGTTTTCATTTGGTGCATTCTAGGTGTTGTGAAATTGACCTTCTCCGTATAATTGCCTCAATTATTATGCTGATTGAATTCTCTTTGTACAACTATCACACACAGTTGATTTCTCTGCTTATTGCATCCATTTTTTGTCCTTGAACCATAACATTTTTATTTACTACAGGATTGCCTGTGCATATGTTTATTAAATTGTCATCAAAATTAAGTATGCAGCACAATTGGGTTGCAGAAACCCCAACAACAATGACCCGACTTTAGGTGTTTAAGGTATAGGTCTATCATACTTGAGGTTCCAGAACTCAAAGGGCATTTATTTGATGGAATCCAGAACCCAGGATGTCATAATGAGTAGTCCTTGGAATCTTGCTATTTTAAGAATTTGTTATGTGTCATGTGCTTGTTAGGATTACTCGCTTTTAATTGGCATGCTAACAAGCGTTTTGGCAGATTGCAATTAACAGAGCTAATACAGAAACAGAAAGTGAGAGTGTTGATTTATGACAGTGGTGGATTTAGACTAATCTGAATATAGAGACAGATGTTCTCAAGGTTTCATAAGGTTCTGAAAGTTTTTTAAGGGATTGGAATAATCAGGTGTGTGATAGTTAGCAAACAGTCATATACGCAAATTGCGAAGGAAAGAATAAGATTTGGTTTATTTTGGAGGGCACCATACCACCATAGCCTTCATAAGGTTTAGTTTTGGCAGAGTGCAAATAACAGAGCTAATACAGAAACAGAAAGTGAGAGTGTTTGTTTGGCATACGATGACATGTGAGTTCTCTTTTTATGGACTGAAGCATGGCATCATGTCGTATGCTTAGGTTTGAGACCCCTTTTGTGATATGGCGTCAACCAATTTGCTGAACAGATTCCTATTCTTCTTTGAGAAATTCAGGAGGACATTGAGGTATATCGGGAGGCACCAACTGGTCCATTTGTAATTTTACACGGAAATGGTTAATTCATTATCTGCACATCGCTGATTTCCCTTTCTCTCTCTCTCTATACACACACACACACACACACACACACACACACACACATTTCATTGATTGGCAACTGTTGAGGGATGGAACAGCTTGCTAACTTGAGTGGTGTTTAGCTTGACAGGGAAAAAAGGTCATAGAGCGGTTTTACTGCAGGAATTTTTCATGCTTGTTGAAGCACCATTGAGGAGCATTTGGAAGGTGCCTTTGGAATCCTAGTCTTTAAGTTATTAATAGATCACCAAGTCTGCCATTCCTTTGTATTTATATCAAAGGATGCCTCAACCTCAAGTATTTCCCCCTCTTCACTCTAGATATATATATTTTTGATTGGCAACTGTTGAGTCTTCTTGAGGAAGTCAAGAAGGTGGCGTTTAGCTTGACAGAAAAAAAGGTCCTAGAGCTGGTTTTACTGCAGAATTTTTTCATGTTTGTCGAAGTACCATTGAGGAGCATTTGAAAGGTGCCTTTGGAATCCTAGTCTTTAAGTTGTTTATAGATCACCAAGCCTGCCATTACTTTGTATTTTATCCAAGGATGCCCCAACCTAAAGTATTTTCATCCCATTTTTCTATTTGTACTAATGCCTTCAAAATTAATTGAGCTTTTACATAAAATAATTATATCAGTTGTACAATCCTGTCTTCTCCAATCTAGTAGATCTAATATTTTACTGATTTGCACGCCCTTTTGCCTTTAAATGGGGTACCATAGTGGCAACTGTCAGTTTGATGTCTGGGCAAACCTGGGGGTGGGGTGGGGTGGGAGAAAAAAAAATTCCATTCAGTTGACCAATAGTAAGTAGGTGCAATCAAGTTTTTACCAAGTTGAGTTGAGTGAAAAAAATAAGGAAGTTTCTGGTTGGGTGAAATCTGAGTTTTGTGTAAGATTTCCTTCAAAGCCAATATGATGTATTAAAAAGCTTTATAATGCATGCATGGTCAATGAGCTGAAGTCTATTGGACTCAGTGATGACGACAACTGGAAGAGATTTCACGAGTCAAGCTTAATGGATAGCATTGGACACGGGGAAGGCAAAGGTGAATATGGAAATGACCCTAGCTGTAGAGACTTGAAGAGAAAGGATTGAAGTTACGAAAACAATAAGACTTAGTGTACCTGAGTTCAAATATTTTTGAGAAGGCTTTATTGAGTACGTTGACATGTAAAGGATACTAAGCAGCTTTGATACTAAAATACATTAAGCAATTTGTACCATGACAATTCAAGTTGTTAAAAAAAAAAAGGACATAACAAATTATAGAGAACGAAAGAAATGCTTTTATATCACTCGGAGTAATGAGGAACTCCGTTCTTGTTTATAATATAATGTTGAAACCATGATATGTGTTCTTGCTGTGTAAACTTTTGTTGGCCTTGTGTCTAGTACATGTCAAAATCAATTTGTACCATGATAATTCAAGTTAAAAAAAAGGGACATAACAAATTATAGAGAATGAAAGAAATGCTTTTATATCACTCGGAGTAACGAGGAACTCCGTTCTTGTTTATAATATAATGTTGAAACCATGATATGTGTTCTCGCTGTGTAAACTTTTGTTGGCCTCGTGTCTAGTACATGTCAAAATCAAGTTAAATTCCACCAATTTCATGGTTGTGTACTGTCCATGGCCGAGCATGTTACAGATGCGCAAGGAGCAGAACTGTCCAACCTTGAAATGGCTCCTCTATAGGGGTGTCTTCTTTTTATGCGAGTTTGGTTAACTGATGCTGCATTATGAACTTTACTTTTATTTTTTCAGAGGAAGATCATGATTTTCTACACTGCAGTATGTTTTGGCTAACGTGCATTAGTGTATAAGGTTCATCAGTATGTGACGAAGTGATCTTACCTGTGGCTTTCCTGCAAGTACTGTAGCTGTTGCCTCAAGCTTTCTGCTTCCCTTTGCCAAAACTAACAAGTGCAAGAATATTTATTTTAAATATCAACCAAAAACTTTGAGAATGAGAACCAACATGATGCAATGTACTTAAACAAGATTCTTTAGTAAGGTAATTAAACAAGAAGAACTTCCATTAGCATTAGAATAATCAGTATTTTGTTGCGTAAAGTATAAAGAATGATTATGAAATAGAACAGAAAACGTTTAAAACTCAGATAAAGTATTGGAGAAAAAAATATGTAAAACAGGCAATCAGTTCAAATATTCCTGCTTGCATTCTCAAACTGGATTTATTTGGCAATGAGTTGAGTTTTTATTTTAAAATTCTTATTTTTGGTTTTTCTTCATAGTTCTTTTGTGCTGGTTACTTAAGATGTTAGTTAGACACTATAGTTCTTACAAAGTGCAATTACATAAGAAGTAAAGGGCTTAATAATCTCATTAAGTTTGTACTGATAGATTGAATTTGTCTTCTATTTTTTTCGTTCACGCTATTTGCGTGTCTGTACACTAGATGCTACATCTGATCAATGATTTTATTTGTTGCAATTGAATCATAAATCCGACCAATTTTATTCATTCAAGAAGTCAATGATTTAAACAATAAGTTTTATGCTTCTCCTTTTAACGGAGAGTGCTTAGGAAGGTAGGGATGTGCCCTAAGACCTCTAACATGGATGCTCCCAACTTGTCAAAATGGCAATTCAATCTACGGGGTCCAATCAATTTCCATATCCAAATCAATAGACGGATCAAGAATCTACCTAATGAGATAAAACATAGGACCATCAAGTCATGGACATCTAGAATGAGTTGTGATTTGCATTCATGAGCCATGCTTCACCTTTACTTTTAGAGAAGGGGCAAAGTGGATGAAATTAGGGATTTGATGTAATTTAGTGTTAATTTTTATTTGTTTTTATTATTTTGGGAATGTTTTAATTTTGGGTATATTTTAGTACTTTATTATTTTAGGGTTTTTTAGGCTTTGGTTATGATTTTGCTTATGTAGAGGCTTCTATTAAACTAAGCAAGTTAGCTTTGATTATTGGAATATTATCATGAGTTTGAGAATCCTCTCTGTATCTTCTTCACCCTCTTTGTTCTTACTCTTCTCAATCCGTTTGGCCTATCTTTTCAATCTGTCTTCTCATCTGTGGTCTATCTTCTCACTCCCTTTTTTCTAGTCTCTTCTCATCTTCTGTGTTCTCATCTCCTACTTTCCTTCTGTCTGGCATCAAATTTGTGTTACAGAACTATCTGTCCTACCTCAATTTGGTTTGAGAGCACTATATGTCTTACATCACTTAGCTACAACAATGTTGTAATCTCCCTTAATCAAAGCCCAATTGTTTCCCATATCTTCATTAAGACCCTCTGAGAGGACAATTCGGCCTTACTTGAAAATGGTTACCAGTTAGCTTAGAGGAAAAAGAATTCATTTCCCCGTCAGATACATAAAAATTCCCTAATTCCCGACTGGGCTTGATTCTTAGGTGAGCAATCATTAGAGTTCAATTAGACTTATTTTGAAGGAGGTTTTGAGAGCTGAGGTAATATTTTCTCAATGGTTTGAAGAGGACATTGCAACCTAATTTCTTAAAATATAACTAAATGGCACCGTTTTAAAAGCGCTTTAGAAATTGAAGCCCATAAGGATGTAAAGAATTGCGATCTGCCCTAAAGATTCTCTTTATGGGTTATGATCATGTTACTTCTTTCACTCAAACCAACCAAATAATGAGCATCACAACACAACTTCATATGCGCCCCTTTTCCTTTCTCGAAGCCTCCAAAAGAAGCAGCAGGAAGAGAAGCAATGTCTCTAGGAGCAACTCATAAAATCTTTTATGGTAAACAATCTTTGTCAATGACCCTTAGTTTTTGGACATTTGATAGCATGGTGGTTGAAGTTCCGCTATGCCCTTTACACATCATACAAATGTATGGACTCAAAGCAGTCAAGAAATAGTAACTATTGCCACTTGAATAATGTATGCAAAAATTCACAGAGAAAGTTGTCGGTGCAATTCAGAAGATGTACTGGTGGTCAACTCACTTGACCAAGTTGTGTCGGTGTTAGCAAAGATGTACCGGTGCTCAACTCTTTGGACCTCAATATCCTGGAATGCACCGATGCAACTTCAGTATGCACTCTTCCCAATTTTGAGTTTTGAAGTTACTGTTTTAAGTTCAAAATATACGTAAATTGCTCTATTAAGTTTGAGGGATTAGGACCAAAACCTAGGCTCCGATGTAAATTAGCACAAGATGGTGATCTAGATCTACATGGGGTGAATAGGTCTCAAATTTTTCAGTAACTGTTTTTTACTAATTTATGAATTTACCAATATAATGGTAACTAAAAAATTAGCTAACTAAAAGTAATGTAAATCAAATCACTCATCATGATTGAAAGCGTAAAAAAATCTAGAGTATTAAGCAACCACATGATTAATATGCAGATTTATGTGTGGAAACCCCAGGAAAAAAAATCACAGGGCTTAGTCCAAGCAGTTCAAATTTACTATGAGAAAGAGATACCACAACTAGGTTAATCAGTTTTCCAAACCTAGGAACCCTTGGTTAGACTCTCCGCTCGAGTCTTCAAGCTGCTGCTCTATCACGTGATCCGTTCCTCACACAATCCGCTTCTCCTTGAGCACATTAAAGTCCATGACTAATAACATCTAGGCTTTGTTTTTGTTGTGTAGAATCACTTTGATGTTGAATTTTGTCCAAAAATAAATAAATATGGGTCAATGGTTGTCCAATCTATTTTTATTACCAACCTAAATCTCAGATGATTTCACTTACATTTTCTGAATGTCCTTGTGAAATGAATTTTCCTCTATCTCGTTTGAATTTTGTGATGAGATCTACTCTTCTTGGATCTTAGGATCAACTTGTCTCGGATTTCAGGATCTATTTGTCTTGGACTCTCAACAACTTCTTATTTAGTTTCTAGTTGGACACTTCAGTTAAAAATCTTCGTATACTAACTTTAAGGGAGGAAGAGAAGAAGGGGGGGGGGGGGGGGGGGGGGGGGGGGGTGTTAGTGGAAGAATATCATGATAAGAGTGATTTAAGCCTTATTGAATATTGATTGGATTGATTTTGGGAATCCTCCCATCAATATGTTTTCCATATTTATCATTGGTATTCTTTCACCTATAAATAAGGGGTGCATACGGTCCGGTTTGGTACGATTCCTAGCGGAACCGGAGCCGTTCCCAACGGTTCCTAGAAATTGGAACCGAAATCGTTGGGACATGGAACCGGAACGGAACCGGTTCCGGTTCCCCCCCCCCCCCCCCCCCCCCCCCCCCCTCTTATTTTTTTTAGCAATAACTTAGGCCACATTTATGTTGATACCATTTCATGACTCTAAACCCATTCGTAGTGCATTTTGATATATAATATAGTACATGAGAACATACATTTATTATATATCTCTCTTTGTATTACAATTTTGATTTTTGATGGAGAGGTTTTACATGAATATTCTTCTAATAGGATTACTGCAACATATAATCAAAGTATTTTGAAAATTTTATAGCCGAATAAGCATCATTAGGCATATGTATAAGTAATTATATAATTAAAAAATATATATATAATTATTAGTACAGTTCCGGCTAGTCTGGAACTGGAACCAGAACCGGAACTTAACGGTTCCAAAAATTTGAAATTGGAACCGAAGCACCGGTTCTGGTTCCTAGCGGTTCCATTGGTTTTTTGTGCACCCCTACTATAAATAGAGATGGTCATTGTGGACAAAACTAAGAAAGTATATAATAAAGGTGATGTAGCCCTTTGAGCTTTGTGGGCCGTGGATGTAAGCCGTAGTGGCCAAACCATATAATCCTTGTGTTCATTCTTAATTTCTCTCTTCAATCTTTTTATTTTATTTTTTATCAACAGAGCCTAGTCCAAAATTTAAAGTCTTAATTTCCAGAGGGATTCCCTAGAGTAGGGTAGCAGCTAATTACACTAAGGATGCAATTTTCTGGACATGTGAGGTACAATAAATGTTGTTGCATCTTTTGCTTCTCAAATCTCTTCAAGCCTTAAAATTTTGAATCATCACGTCCACACTGAGAAAGCAATTTTCTCAAAAGTAACACTTCTTGCTGCCGCCTCCTTATTACAGACTTGGGATGATTACTTTCGGAAGGTCAGAAGCTTTTTGATCTTGGAAAATTTACTTTAAAGTTGAAATAGAAACATATATCCTGGATGAAGGTTGCATTCTAGTAGCTGGTGCCTTCTGAAACAATTTTACAAGGAGGCGATGTTGGTCTATGTTGTGGAAACAATGGTCTTGTTGCACTAATGCATTACTGGCAACTAAAAACAGTCCATATATACGTTAAATTTGTGTAAAAATTATGGGGTGACCTTAAAATTTGGTACGAGAGCCAGGATGGTCCGACTGCAACGAGGGCGTTGCGAGTTCGGCACCACCCATTCGGGAATGGTCTGGGGAGACATTGTTGATGGTCTGTGGTCTGAGGAGGAGATATTGGTGATTCTTCCATTTACATATTTTTAAAAATCGTAAGAAGGGAATGGTCTGAGGAGACATTGTTGATTATTTATAGCTTCGGGAGAAGTTGTTTCTTTTATCTATGTATTTTAAACATGTGGATGAAGGGGAATGGTCAAAGATTCTGAGGAGACATTGTTGATTCTTCCATCTAAATATTTTAAACATGTGTATGAAGGGAAATGGTCTGTGCAGTATTTTTAAAGGCTCGCCTAGTCGCACCTAGGCAGGAGGCACAGGTGCAGGTCTACGCCTGTTGTCATCCCTGGCTCATTGATGTTTACTAGGCGCGCGCCTCGGTTGCTCCTCATCCTATTTGTTAGGTGCGCCTCACTATTTTTTTTTTTATTTATTAATTATTCTATTTCTTAAGCCAAAAATGGTACTTTTTGCAACTTAATAAACTAATAAGAAAGCCTATGCTTATGAGAGAAGGAACTTTTGTTCAAAATAATAAATAAATTCTGTTTTGCCTTCCAAGAAAACAAATTTGTGCTCTTTTTATGGTTCTTGAATGCTTAATAGTTGATGGATTTACTTTTTTATATTTTATATTAATTTTTAGAATATTGGTACAACTTATGAGATATGAATGCTTTTATGGTAGTTTAAAATTTCAATTGTCCGCTTCACTTCACTCAGGCGTACACCGAGGCTCCAAAGGAACCTCTAGCGCGTTGGTGCACCTTGAGCCTCTAATAAAACTGGGTCTGAGGAGAGAGTACTATTTATGGTCTGAGGAGACATGGTTGGTTGCTTATAGTATGAGGAGACATTGTTAATGGTTTATGGTCTGTGGAGAGCCATTGTCAATGGTTTATGGTCTGAGGAGACACCAGTTAAAGACGTATCCACAGTGGTTTAGAGAAAACGCTATGGTTATGTCTTGGCCTTAGAAGCACAAAAATGGATATGGGACATGGATACGACACGGACATGGACACAGACACGACAACATTCAAATCCTAAAAAATTAGGAAACGAACATGGCGAATAATATATATATATATATATGATGTTGTACTTTAAGAAATTAAGAGTAATATTATTTTATTAGAAAAAGAATTATGGCTTAGTTAGTAAGAATCCATAGAAGATAAAAAGTTCATGGAAACAAGAGGAAAAAGAGAGAAAAATAATTTTGTTGTGAAAGAATAAAAAGAAGTTTCTAGGGTTTGTGAAGAAGAAGAATAAAGAAAAGAGGAGGACAAAGAAGAAGAGATAAAAGAGGAGAGAAAGGAGAGAAAGATAGAGAGACCATCTGTAGGGAGTGAAGCTTGGTTGGTGGAAGAACAAGAGAGACTAAAAAATGATCGTGCAAGAGTGTTAACCTTTGAACTAAAATATAAGCATAAATATCAAATTGTTTAATATAAAATTATTTTATGAAACCACTTTTAAGTAATTAAGTAATGATCGTCATATTACTGAAAGCTATTGAACAACTTCTTATATTTACACTTCAACCTAGCTTTCTTTCTAAAACTCTCTTAAAATCCTCAATTGCCTCACTTATGAAAAAAAATCACTCGTATCGGACACGTATCCATGGCGTGTTTGACGCGTGTCCACGGCGTGACTGCGCCGTGTTCGTGCTGTGTCCGAATAAAAAAAAAAAAAAAAATCAGACTCGTTTTTTGGCGTGTCTAGTGTGTGTCTGTGTCCGACACGGATTCTTTGCCCTTTAAGGCGTGTTTGTGGGCTAATCAATTCAATGCATCCAGACATAGTCATTGGCTATATAAAGACTGTGTTTGAGGATGCATTGTCCAAGTTCAGTGTCTCAGATATCCACGCACCAACTTGAGGGGGAGTGATAGCCGAGATATGATAGGCTAGAATCATGGATGTAACTTAACATATTAGCTGAGATATGATATGCTAGAGTGATGAGATTTGACTTTATTTACGCATATGTCTTGGCATAGAATATACAGTGATTTTATTCAGTTTCCTTTCTTGTAATATTAACTTGTGCTCTTTTTTGTATATAAATACTAGAGCTCTGAATGAGTGTTTAAGCCTCATTCAAACCTTTACATATTATTAATTCTCATTCAATCCTTTACACATTTCTCTTCTATTCCTTCTATCTTGCATTTCTTCTCAGATACGATTTAATTCCCATTCATGTCTTGATTATACTCTTGCATTTACAAGCATGCCGAAGAGGCCTTGTACTACATGGAAAGATGTTTTGTCCTATTTATAGACAGGTTCTTACTACTATTCTTACCTTTTGGAAATGAGTCTGTAATCCATACTTCATTGACTGGTGTGACTATAAACTTCGTTTTTCAGATGGATTTCTTCATTTGGACGCTTTTAGTTTGCAAAATTCTAGCACTTTTGATTGGTAAAAACAAACGAATTATCTTTCAATGGAATTATGTTGAAACTTGACACTTGCGGACTAGTCAAGAGCTTCTTACTAGCATCCGGTGTGTTTGTTATGGGACCTGTTCATTCTTCTGCAAATGCACACAAAAGGTTATTAGCTCATGCCTTGTTTTCTGCTAACAGATATTATATTGAAGATGATAGGTTCGCCTTCTTTAGCATATCGTCTACATGTCCTATGTTTCGTGTCCTCCACCAGAACAACCCTTCAAATACTATTCTTCATGCTTTCCAGGTTAAAGCTCTACTTGACCCACTGGGAGATGGAGCATCGGCTTAAATGCTGCTATATGCCTTTTTATTTTGACCCCACCTACAATCTTATGCAGGTATGTAATTTCTCCTGATAGCATCAGTCGTCTAAATTTAAAATCAAAGTTGAGTTAATGATGTAACCATCCAAATATTTACGTCACAAACTAACTGAAACATGAACATCTTTCCAGAGCTGGAGACAACTTTTTTGGCCCCCTAAATATGTATAAATAACAATAATAATAAAAATAAAAGAAGCATCTCTGAGAAAATAATTCATATAGAAGTGTTCAAATTGCAAGGGAAACACTGGTTCCCTTCATGACAGAACACCACTAATCCTTGTAGCTGCAATTTATAAGCTTATTTTATTGTTATTCCATGGGTAACACAGCAAGGATTTTCATTCATGAGGCAATTTTTTTATAAATTTCAATTTTGTATATTAAATTTTCTTCAAATTAATGTTTTGCAATCTGTCTTTTAATTTTTAATGGAAAAACTCTGGATTGAAAAACACAAGAGCACTAACCATATCAAATCTTTTCCGCTGTCACTATATTAATTAGATTTAAGGTTTATTCAAAACTTGAATATTTAGCCATCAAAAAGGAATCCTTCTGAATTTATTTTACATTTCTTCTCCGAGCTGCATTTAGACTCAAAATTAAATATAAAAAGGAGCACAAAACCATTGGCTTCTTTTGCTTCTGGGGGAAATCCAAATCTCCATCCCTCAGTAAACTAGTTAAACGTTGTTAATTACCCTAACTGTACCTGTTTCCTAGAATTCACCCTAACCTCTGTTGCCTAGTACAGAAAGATTGACATTTCAGTGTGGCTACATGACTCTTGCGCTACACGTGTTGCCCAAGTGGTGTATTATATCCTATCACATGTCACTACCATCCTTGCTGCTTGACATAATTTTTATACACAACATTGACATCGGCTTATAATGACTCGTTACTCCCTTACTCCATCCCAGTTGACATGCCTGCTGTCTGACTGCAATTATTTAATGATCTCCTGGGTATATTTCTAAATATTCTATGATAATCGATAGAATTAAAGAGATCATCCCTTCACTGGCATATGACTTTTGAGGTGAATAGATGTTTCCAAACGATCTGTTTTTGGCCCTAATATCTAAGTTGGTTCATGCATCATTCAGCAAAGATTTAGCTCATCAACCTATATGTATTTCATGCCTCCTTGGGATAGTTATCGTCAACTGAATTTTCTGTCCATGGCCTCCAAAATCTATCTCACGTTACAAATAGGCTGATGATATGCATAGCAGTTTGCGCTTCGATCATCATAGCTGACATGTCATAGTCCACTAGGATTCTAGAAGGTGCTTGGTTCTATGGTTGAGGTGACTCTCCTTGAGGTCTAAACTAATCTCACCTTGACTCGAAGACAGAGAGATCATTTGACTCTTGGACAAGCATGTCACCTTGGTACCATCTTAGCACGGTAGTAACACCCAATAGCCAAAATGCTGCCTTATTACGTTCGAATCAAGTAGCTCTAGTTCATCTGGAGGCTCTCAGTGAACCACAATAGAAGTGTGCATCATGACTTAAAGAGAACACTACATCGGCATCTGACTGCCCTGTTCTCGCCAACTATTAATTATGACTTTTATCTCATGCTTAGGAGGTAAGACAGAAAGATTAATCAAGAGACTAGCGTAAAACATTTTACATATAAAATGTTTCCCCCCAACTTCTTTTTTTTTTGGTTGAAAATTCCGTAAAAGGAAAAAAAATTGTAGTTGTATTCTAGTCCTTCATGCTTTCAATTTCCCTCAAAAATTTTCCTTTCCCGTTCCACTGTAGCTTCGAGAGAGAGTAAAGATCTGAAGTTCAGAAAAATCCTTAGCAATCAGATTGAAGAAACTTTATTTGAATGGCGAGGGAAGTTCTTGTTGCTTGAAGACCTGACGAAAGAGGATGCCGATTTCATAAAATCATTGGTGGGCAAGCCCCAGAAATTCAATAAGTTTTTAGTTAAGAAAGAGAGAGACTAAATTCTGAGATTAGAAGTTCTAATCTTTCATTGAGTCATTGACTAACCATACTAGTTTAGGAATCTCTACGTTGAATGTTGAGGCACTGCTTGTCTCGTATCAAGATTGTGTTTTGGCTTATTATTTGAGGAAACACGACGCAGGAGTTTGGATGTTAGCAAGCATAGAATGTCTTACGGTTCGTAAGTCAGTTTAGCAGATATGATGTAAAACATACTACATGTGAAATAATTCACTCAGTTTTGTGTTGCCAAAACACTGGAAAATATGGGAAATGTTTCTGGAAAACAGGTGGAGCATAAGAAAAACCTAAGATTAGTCATTTTTAGATGGCAAGTTTAACCCTTAAAAATTAAGCCCTGATTTGTGTTGTGGACTGCCAATATTTCTCCTTTAGCCTAATCTACCTTGGATAAGAACCACACTGAGATACTTTGTTTTGATATTTTGTTTTCTTTATGGAAGATTTCACATATCTGCTGAAGAATGTCCTTTACTTTTCTGTTCCAAGTTTCCTGCATCACTTTTGTGCTTTTGTGTGTTCTCTATTGCAGTTTAAATTCACAAACTACCAAGATGATGATAAAACTGCCATCAGCTTCCAATTGATACTTCCAAAATTTCCTCAATATTGTTTGAGCACTTTGTAGGTCATGCATGGCTGCCTATGCCACAAATCTGCAGTATGTAAGTCCTAGCCTCTTCTCAATTTCTGCTTTGATGAAAAGCTAATCTTTTGGCTTGTTTGTCATATACATCACGGCTTTTCCTATAAGAGACCCATCCACAGCACTGTTGCTATGTTTTTTTCAGACTTATGTTTCCTAAGTAATTGAAAGATGTTAAAATATTTTCTTTTTGCTATAATTAGTGTTAAGATGAGAAAAGGGAAATAAAAAAATAGTAGAGAAAATTATACAAAACTATATGCTAGTCACCACTTCCTCCCTTATTATTTTTTATTCCTTAATTAATTGATTTTTTTAAAAAAAAATTAGAACCAAAGTTCCTTAAAAACCTCCTCCTTTAAAATATCATGAACAGTTCCTCTAGGTTGAGCACTTTTTTCAAGGAAGTATAGAATAGCAGGAACATTTAAATAAGTTTTATTCTTTATGGGATCATAAAAACTACACTTTAATCTTTGGATTCCTAAAAGATTAGTTAATGAATGTATACGAGTATTTTGATGTATCAATATCAACATCAAATAGCCTGCAAATAGTAACACCAAATATCTAGGGTATCAATATTTTGATGTTCAAGAAAGTCAATTTGTTCAAACATACTGGAACTAGTTCAATGTAAAAGTAGTCTCTTATAATATGTACATAAAACCTGGAACTACAAGAATGCAGTTTACAGGAACCATAAACCGTAAACAGTTTTATTTCAATAAAACATTGACATACTTTTTGTTTGCTAATCAAATGAAATTAGAGGATATGCATCCAACTAAATTGTCCAGTTTAATTTGGATTCTTTTTTCTTATTGTGAGCTTTTTTAACTGTTGTTTCAGGTTGTGGTTTATATTGTTAGGAAATGAGTACTTTTTATTTATTTATTTTTATTTATTTATTTTTTTTTATAGAAGTTTTAGTTGATCTTAAAAAGTTTAGATTATTAAGTAATCTTCGTACATCTAGAGTATTACCATAATCAATTTAGCATGCAGTGCTAGATCCCTTCTCCATGAAAGGTCGATTATTTATTTGGGAACTTTATAGTAGAAGTCCTGTATGGGATCTGAAAATGCTTTAAAGGGGCAGCAGAAGAAAGAATGGAGAAAAAAAAAATGAGACATACATTGCTGCCCCAAAGATTGTTGCGAGACTTCTAAGCAGAGTAGTTGTGAGAGAATTAAAGATGGAAGTCCATCTTAGATTCATTAGTGCACTTCAAATTAGTCTAGGACAAACTATATAAAATTACATATACTGTTTTACATTTACATTTCCTATAGATCTTATAGCATGTGTATTTTAAAATATGCCTGTGTAAATTATCACTTGTGAGAGTATTGAGGGATAAAAAAAGTAATTGCTTGGGATTAGCTTCCCCATTTTTATAATTTTTGTTTGTTTCTTAGGCCAAAAGAATAAAAATATTAACTGAAGAAGCTCTCAAAATTAATTACAATTAAATAAAATTGAAATGTAGGATAAGAAATGAAAAGACTTGAGTTTCCTCAAAAAAATTATTTTTGCTTATTCGGAAAACAAAGCAGTAAACAATCTTACTTTGCCTCTACTGATGCAGGTAAACTTGTTAGGAATCTTACCTTGACTTCTGAAGTGGGATTCAGCAATTGATGATGTTCCTCTTTCACTTCCTTGTATCGTTCGATTAGAGATTTCATGCTGAGACAAATTAGAATCAAATGATTATCTCTATTCTCCACGTCTATGCATGTGCGAGTGGAACACATGTGATGTAACAGTACTTTTATATGATAAGATCATGATATTTAGGAAAGCAAAATAAATGTCAAAATCTATTAATTAGAAGTCTTCGAATCTACATGTTATTATTATTTTGTTTTCTCATCTAAATTTTTAGTTGCATCTTTCTTCCTTGTTGGGCGTTTTGAACAAAATAGGACACAATTAATCATCCCCTATGCACACTTTTTTTTTTTTTTTTACCAAATGTTGATCACAAACTCCATAAATAGAACCAGGATTTAACTGTTCATTTACACCCTTTTAACCTAGTTCTACAGGCTTTCCTTTTAACCTAATTATTTATTTGTTCTCTTTAATTTATGACTATTTCCTTCTCATTAAGTTCCGACCAAATATGATGAATTTTTTTTTTTTTTTTTTTTAACACACAAAAGCTGCATTGGGATTCACTTTTTGGTAGTTTCAAGTAATGGAAAGCCTGTAGAATTAGGTTAAAAGGGTGTAAATGAACAGTTAAATCCTGGTTCTATTTATGGAGTTTGTGTGTCAAAGCAAAAGTGAGCAGAGGGTGTTGGTTGGTTGGAGTTTAGAAGGTAAACCTAGGTGGTGGAAATGGGGGCATAGAAAACTATTGAACTGTTAAACTAGGGTTTTAGTGCAAGGTTAGTGATCTAGTCCTAGACTTCAATGGGGATAAACTTGTTTGTTTAGTTTATTAATTTTTAACTATTTTTCTTTTGACTTTAAATTAATAACAATTCAAAAATCAAAGTAGGCACATAAATTAATACACTCATTATGATTGTAAAGCATATAAAAATATGTCAAGTAATTACACGATGAACGCGTATCTAATTTACCAAACTCTAGAAAACTCTTAAGACAAACAACGCCGAACTCTTTACTTTAGACCCTTATACCCCTCATTCTTTTATTATTATTTTTTTTAAATTTGAAAAAAAAGGATGTGTTATTCACACTTCATTGAATTTTTTATATAAAATATATTATGTAATTGCCCGTAAAAAATAAAGTATAAAAGTGTTTTTTAGAGACAATTGGGGGGTGTGAGTGTTTTTAAATAGAGCAATGGCAGCTATGAAGTTAACGATCGCATCATTGATAAGATGAGATTGAGACAATTTTCGAGATTGTGAAAATTTAAATATTTTTAATATATATTTTTTCAATTCAACTGTTAATGAGGAAGCTCAACGCTCATCTCTGGTGTCATAAAAGGGCTCCATTTTTTTTTTTTAAGGTAAAAATAAAAGGGCTCCATTTGATAACCTTACTTTTTCAAATAATGTTCGTGTCACAAGTGTAAGAATACTTTTATGCTAATAAAAATTTAACTTTTATCTTATCATTGAATAAATATAAGTGTAAGAATACTTTTATGCTAATAAAAATTTGACTTTTATCTTATCAATGAATAAATAACGGAGCAAAAATTATGAATGTTCAATAATGAATAAGTAACATCTTAAATCCACAAAATTAAGAAGAAAAAAATACAAAATTAAGAAAAAAAATAAAAAAATAGAGATCCTCTGCAGTACATGCATTTATAATGAAAAAATCATAATATAATAAAAAAAACTAATAGCAAAGGAAAACCTAATTTAATGATCAATAATGCAATATTGACATTCACAATGCCTTTTGATTTAGTGAGTTGGGAGTTCATTCTTAACACCCTTCCCTACTACAATTCCCTCCCCCTTTCAACATATGGGTCATATCTTGCCTTACCACCACCACCACCACCACCACCACCACCTCTTCCACCATAATAGTGGTTGGTGAATTTCATGGTCATTTTAGAGGAGTGAAGTGCTTGAGACAAGGGGATTCACTATCCATTTTTCTCTCTGTAGTAGTGATGGAAGTCTCCTTTTCCGTCACTCACAAGCTCACATCATCTAATCCTTCGTTTAAACATAATTGGAGATATAAAGAGAGGTCAATCACCCCCCTCGCATTTGCGGATGACCTCCTACTATTGTCTCACGGTAGTCTCAACTTTGTTTTGATGGCGGTCGCCTGAGTCTCAGTCAATAGGAAGGCTCCTAAAAATATTCTTTCCTTATTGTACTAGACTTTTTAAAATATTTATTTCCTTTATTAGTTAGGCCCTAAAATTATAATTTCAATTTCTAAACATTTTTATTTCCTTACATTATTAGATAGTCAAGCTAATAAGAAAACCCCTAAAATTATTATTTTCTTGCTTTATTAGACTTCTTAAAAATTTTATTTCCTTCTATTATTAAGCCCCTAAAATTATTATTTTATCTTTCTACATTCCTAACATCTTTCTTTCCTTATATTATTAATTCCAACTAACTGTAACTATTTCCATACTATAAGGCCCTAAAATTATGGAAAAAAAATCCTCTCCAGTTACGGTCTCACTGGATTGGGTAAAAAAGCTAATTTGGCAGTCATATTTACCATACTTCTAATATATATATATACAATATACATAGGGCTACAACTCGGACAGGTTTTAAAAGAAAATAAATAATAAATTACTAAAAAGATTGATACATAAGATGAATACAAGAAGAGATAAGAAGAAATGCGCTCCCCTCCTATTTATTTGATGCCTTCTTCTACAAAGAAACTCATAATACCAACCCCATTCGTAATTCCATCAATTATCCGTCTATCGAAAAAATGAATTAATTTAGCCAATCCTCTTATGGGTGGGTTTGAGATATTACTTAAGCCCACTAACATTATCTTCAACCTTAACTACTCAATCTAATCCCAACCCATCCTTTTACTTTTAAGTTCGGGCTTGCAACTCGGTCTTAGATTCCTGATAAAAATTTCGGGTTATTTCGGGTTACTCATATGACTAATTCTTGCACCAAAAATTTAGTATGATCTTGAATTAATTTTAGATTAAATTACTCTTAAACAAAAAAAAAAGTTTATAGATTTTTAATAAATTACAAACAAATTTTTAGAAAATTAATTCTCTTAAATGTTAACATACAATAAGTTAAAATTTAACAAAAAAAGTTGAAAAGAAAAAAAGTAATGATAGTTTAAATACTATATATAATGTATTTAAAAGTAAAAATATATATGAAAATAATATTAGAATTCGGATTCGGGTTAGCTAGGTTGATAGCACTTCAACCCAAGCCCAACCATAATTAAATTTGGGTTGAGATTTTTCAACCCAAGCCCAACCCTAATTGTAAAAATGATTACCCAAATCCGTGAAAAATTGGACTGGGCTCGGGTTAGTTTTGGGTTACCCAACCCAAGTTGCACCCCTAAATATACATCATACGTAATGTCTATTATTTAATGAATGGTCCTACTTGATTGAAATTTGAACATCCTCAAAAGAAAGAAAGAATGAAAATCCTAAAAAAGAATAAGAACCCAGAAAACACCCAAAACAGAGAAAAGATGTATATATATATATTTAGAGAGAGAGAGAGAGAGAGAGAGAGATAGAAATATACATATACATATATTATACATATATAATATATTTGCTAATTTTGTTTTGATTGCCTTGATTTCCTTAGCACATGTTTGTGTATATATATAAGGGGAGAGAGGTGGAAAAGTGAAAAAAAATACAAAAAAAAAAGGAATAAAAAATTGGAAGAATATGGAATCATATTAGCAAGGAAAAAAAAGAAAAAAAAACCTAAGTCATTTTTTTTTTTTTGGGTTCAATCTTTTTCTTTAGAATTTAAGGTTAGAGAAGTAAGATTTAGTTTGTGTTGTAATAATTAAAGTTGTTTAATTCGACTGAATCCTACGCAATTAGGGTTCCAAATTTTCGATTTAGAGAAGACGTATAGAGTAGCATTCCTACATATGGTAAAACAAAAGTAATTTTTTTCTTGACTTGCTTATTTGGCGCTGACTTGGTGATGAAAATGTTATGTTGGGGAGGTGGCGTTAAACCAAAATTTCGATTTAGAGAAGACGTATAGAGTAGTATTCCTACATATGGTAAAACAAAAGTAATTTTTTTCTTGACTTGCTTATTTGGCGCTGACTTGGTGATGACAAGGTTATTGGTAAGCTATTGCCTCACCAACTAGCTAATCAGACGCGAGCCCCTCCTCGGGCGGATTCCTCCTTTTGCTCCTCAGCCTACGGGGTATTAGCAGCCGTTTCCAGCTGTTGTTCCCCTCCCACCGCAAGGAGGGGGATGCCGAAGGCAGGGCTAGTGACTGGAGTGAAGTCGTAACAAGGTAGCCGTACCGGAAGGTGCGACTGGATCACCTCCTTTTCAGGGAGAGCTAATGCTTGTTGGGTATTTTGGTTTGACACTGCTTCACACCCCAAAAGAAGGGAGCTACGTCTGAGTCAATGTTGGGGAAGTGGCATTAATCACCACCGTTAAATGCTCACCAGACGTCTGAGAGAGAATTTTTTTCCTAAATTTATTATTTCCTTATTGTACATTATTATTGTTATTATTATTATTATTATTTACAATATATATCGGGTTAACAATATATTATAGACTTCTTTATTTTATTATATTATACTCCTCGTAGCTAAAGAATTTGATTAATTTTAAAATTTTCATTTAACTTTCTATCAAAATTCACAATTCTATCCTAATCTAATTTTTTTTTCCTCCTCTCCTTCTTCCACATTTATATTGAATATACATATAAGGAGATTAGGTTATATTTTGGCTATGTCATTTACCCAGTTTTTGGTTTCGCTCAAGTGATCATGATCGCACAAATAATGCAGTAAGAACCTTCCACCATGACTCACTCTATTTTCAGCAGCCTACTCACTCTATTTTCAGTCATTATATTTCATTTCCCAGCTTTACTCTCTTCCCTCTCCCTTGGATCAGCTGGACAGTACTGTTTGGATGCCTAGTCCTACAGGTATCTTCTCATTTTCCCACACCGTAGCTTACTTTTCACCTCCTTCACCAATTTTCAATTGGAACAAGCTTATTTGGTTTAAGCATCATATTCCAAAGCACAGTTGTATTGCTTGGTTAGCAGTTAGAGGTAGACTTTTTACACTTGACTCCAAACCAATGCTCCACAAGCATTATGTTAATAGGTGCTACCTATGTCATACGGAGTGTGAATCTATGGATCACTTGTTCTTCAAATGTTGTTTCAGCTCACAGATATGGAGGTTCATACAAGAGG